GGGCCGGACCTGCGGATGGGGCAGGTAAACAAACCGGCCCAGCCCACCATGGGCTTTCCCTAGACAAGTGGCGACCCCTGTTTGAGAAACCCTGCATTAGACAGTTACCTTTAGGGAGTACACACACTTCTTTACATTCCTAATTAGTAATTTGACCTACACTACAGGACAGCTGTAAGATATACTTTTCTCCACAGTGCAGGTCCGACCTACATTTGGCCTGAATATGAAATATAATTATAATTATGGTTATAAACCCTCTATCCTAGTGTTTTGTTAATAGAAATATTGCTAATTATGGACACTGGTAATTTGGTGGTCTGTCAAACATCTGCAAGGGCTTGCTTTTCAGCATGAACATAATTTCCATGTGGTTTTGCCACCAGCCCAGCCACAGCTGATTCTTTGTTATATGATGATGTAGCAAGCAAACAAGAAATGTCTGATATCTGGCAGCTTGGAACAACTCAACCCTTTGTAAACTTGGACTGAAGAAACTATGGTTGTGAGGTGAATAAGGAATGGACATATTATTTCAATCATTTAAAGCCTGGGGCAAGAAGCTCAAATTAGACAATAACTTTAATCAAAGGACATACAAGGTAAATGAATCACAGATACAATCTGACATCCTAGCATAGTTCTAATTATTTTTAACCTGAAATTTTGCCCTTATAAGTGTTCTAAAGTATTTAGTATACTTGCAGTATATCTCCGAATATACCTAAAGGTATACTAAAATTGCTTCACAGGCATATGAACCCATAAACCCATTTTGCATAGCACTTGTAAATTTACCTCAACATCTTCTGGATCAATTTATTATGATGATTCAACACACTTCCAAATCAACTTGTTATACTCCCACATGAAGACAATTGAAGTTCAACTTGTGGTTAATGAATAGTAAAACATACTTGCTACATACACCAGTTCTGAAGTTAACTAGATTTTCAAGTTGACAATGTCTGTTTAAAATAGATATCACCGTGTAGTAAATTCTGAAAATTTTGCACTTATGTTTTCATGGATTCATAGATTCCAAGGTTAGAAGGGACCATTGTGATCATCTAATCTGACCTCCTGTATAACACAGGCCTTAGAACTTCCCCAAAATAATAGAACATAGCTTTTAGAAAAACTTCCAATCTTGATGTCAAAATTGCCAGTGATGGAGAATCCTCCACAACCTTTGGGAAACTGTTCCAATGGTAATTAACCTCACAGTTAAAAAATTATGCCTTGTTTCCAGTCTGAATGTGTCTAGCTTCAATTTCCAGCTGATGGATCATGTTATACTTTTGTCTTCTATGTTGAAGAACCCATTATCAAATATTTGTTCCCCATATAAGTACTTATAGACTGTGATCAAGTCACCCCTTAACTGTTTCTTTGTTAAGATAAACAGATTGAGGTCCTTAAGTGTATCACTATAAGGCATGTTTCCTAATCTTTTAATCATTTATGTGGCTCTATTTTGAACCCTCTCCAATTTATCTTTCTGAGTTGTGGACACCAGAATTGGGCACAGTATTTCAGTAGCTGCTGCATAGTGCCAAATACAGACATAAAATAATCTCTCTCCTCCTCCTTGAGAGTCCTCTCTTTATGTGTCTAAGCATTGCATTAGCCTTTTGGTCACAGTATTTCACTGGGAGTTCATGTTCAGCTGATCATCCACCATGACTCCCAAATCTTTGTCTCACTGCTTCCCAGGACAGAGTCTCTCATCCAGTAAGTATGGCTTACATTCTTTGTTCCTAGATGCATATATTCAAATTTAGCCAAAAAATGCATATTGGTTGCTTGTGCCCAGCATACAAAGAGATCCAGATTGCTCGCTCTACGTGACTTGTCCTCTTCATTATTTATCACCCCCCACCAATGTTCATGTCATCTGCAAACTTTATCAGTAATTGTTTTATGTTTTCTTCCAAATCAATGAAAAAAAATGGTAAATGGCGTAGGACCAAGATATCACACCATTTTGAATGTTCCGGAATATTGGATTACATAGTGATGCACAGATGCCTAACCCTTTTTCTGACAAAAATCCAATTTTATAAGCATTGTTATTGAATTGACATCATCAAGTTGAAATCTAATCAGTTTTTAAAAAATGAATTAAAAGTAATTTCATCCATTACACTTGTTCCTAAGTCCTCTTGAGCCCCAATTTTTATGGGGATTTTACTATCACATTTTCTTATTTATAAACTATATTTTCTCTCTCGAGCTGCTGACAAAAGACCCACCCCAAAAAAAGAGGAAACCAAGACCTCAATCTTGAGAACATTTACACGTCTGCTTAATTTTACTCATGTGAGAAGTCCCACTGAAGATAATAGGATCTCTCACATACCTATAATTAAGTGCATGGTTGATTTTTTGCAAAATTGGCACTCAAGATTGCAACCTCAGTGAGACAGAGCTCATCTTTTGGTTATTTATGAGTACAGTGTGTTGTACCTTAGAGCTCTAATACCTGATTGGGGCCATTTTAGGTGCTTTTACAATATAAATAATATATAATAATAATAACTGATTGACTAGACGGGGGAACAGTGGAAATGACAGTACATAAAGTGCTGTCAGATGCACAAATGAAATACAATGAGGACAAAGAGAAGTTATTTTCTAATCTCTTTCACTTCTAGCCATCCTTGTGTGTCTTATAATAATGATAGTGGGTACAAATTTTCAGACAAAAGTGTGATATAGGCCCTGATCCGGCTACTGGCTCTGCTTGGCTGGACCTCACATCCAAATGGAATTCCTTGCAGAACTGGGCCTTCAGATCAGGGACAGTATCTACCTCTGTGTTTGTATAGTATCTAGCACAATCCAGACCCAATTCTAATTCTGGGAACAAACAAACTAAATAAATGTGACAAGTGTCCTTCCCTTTAAGGCCAAAACATCATGCTAAAGGGCTTCCTCAGCCTGCCCAAAGAAAGGATAATATGGCTTGCTTTAGCCAAGGCAGAGTACAGGGTCAAAACCCCCATTTCTTCTATCAGCTCCTGCACTTCCTTCTGTGAGGGCTACAGAATTCATTCTTCAGGGAATCAAATACCTAATCCCATAGGTGCTAGAACTAGGGTTTCTGGGGGTGCTACTGCACCCCCAGCTTTAAGTGGCTTTAGGGAAAGATTCTGTAAAACTGGTTTTAAATACCATGTCAAATGATCACACTGCCCTGATGTGGCCTTGGAGGGGATTTATTACTTGTAGAGACCGTTTTTTTTGTCCATAATTTAAGAATAACACAAACTGGAATTGCTTATACTTACTGGAAGGTTTGCTTTTACAATGAAAGCCCTGCAAATAAAAATAAGGATGATTAAAAATACTGTTTTGAAGAAAAAAGATGCTTTAGAGTTAGTGTACACGTAAATATAAACATAGTTTAACAAATAGTCCCATATTCGCTCATTAGGTAAATCATTTTTAAAATTGAAGCATGACTTACCTTCAACAACACAACAATAGAAACATGCACAATGCTAAGGCATAAGGGCCTGAGTCAACCCCCGCAGAGTCAATGAGGCCTATTTGATCAATTTACAATCTTTGTATTAAAGTTCTTTACAAGAACTATATTATAACAATTCCACCAAACTATATCCCTTCACATAACACAAGAACTCTAGGCCACCCAATAAATTAATAGGCAGCAGATTTAATAACAAAGAAAACAAAGTACTTCTTCATGCAACACATAGTTAACCTGTGGATGCTGGAAGGCCAAAAGTATAACTGGGTTCAAAAAATAATTAGATGTGTTCATGGAGGCTAGGTCCATTGTGGTGAGGTGGAGCAGCCTCATACCAACACAGAGAGAGTTAACTCACTTTGTTGGGCTCCCCTAACTCCCCCTTTCCCCTCACAGAGAGTGGCGGCAGGGCAGGAAGTATAAGAACAGAGCTCTGCAGCCCAGTTGGAGCCAGATATCTTTCCCAGGAAGTTTAATTGCCCATGGAGCTCACAACCAGCTTGGCGGGTGACGACTCTCCTGAGCTAGCCTGGAGACAAGGCCAGCCACTACCCCGGAAGACTGAGGAACCCAAAGACGAAGCAGAGAATGAGCCACTCATCAGGGTCACTGGGAACCAGGCCACAGTGGCCACAGAGCAACCCAACCAGATGCCAGTAGGAAGCAGCCCAGGGGAATCAGACATTGGTCCTGTTGTGTTGCCGGGAGGCGAGGCAGCAATCTAACATTTCCAAGCCAACCTAGTGACAGAATCACCCATCCCTTTAAGGTCCCTGGGCTGGGACATGGTGGAGCAGGGTGGGCCCAGGTCCCCATATCTTGGGCCCCACACTCAGTGCTGGATGAGCGCTAACCCCCACATCCAAGAGGCCTGAACTATTGCTCATTTAGTTGCCCCGCCGCAAGCCATGATGCTCACAGATCTGGTGTGGGTGCTGAGTTCCCAGCACTACCAAAGGAGGTGCTCTGACCCTGAGACGTAGGAATCTTACATCCATCAATGGCTATTAGCCAAGATGGTCGGGGGCACAACCCCATGCTCCGGGTGTCCCTAACTCTCCAAATGCCAGAAGCTGTGACTGTACGATAAGAGATGGATCATTTGAAATTGCCCTGTTCTGTTCATTCCCCCTGAAGCACCTGGCACTGGCCACTGCCAGAAGATAGGATACTGGGCTAGATGGACCATTGATCTGACCACGATGGTCGTTCTTATGTTCTTATACAACTATGAGTTGATAAGTTGGCAATGATATTTACTGTGTCCAAAAGTGTATTAGACTGTTTGCATTTCCAATACAAGCTGATTGTGCAGGGATCTAATCCTATTTGTGCTAGCTACCTTCCATACACTTTTGGAGCTGTAGATATAATAATTGATAATATTAATATTAGTCAAATAATTTTTAAAGAGGACTTATGTATATGACAAGACAAACATTCAAATCAGTCACCTCCAAGTCAATAAGACTTGCTTTTTTATTTAAGAGTATTCAGGCCCCAGTCCCACAAATGGGATTACTCAAGTGGGTAAGTGTTTGCAGGATTTGGGTATAGAACAGTAGGGAGAGGGGGCCTGATTTTCCACTGCCTTCCTCCAGGTATAGTCATCTACTTCTGGGGAAAGCCAGTACAAAGAAGGTGTTAAATGCTACCACTGATGTGAACAGAGAATTCTGATCTGATAGAATTTTACACCCACTTCACAGAAAAAAGAAAAAGCTTGAAACTAAATACATGCAAAAGTGGGTGGAAGTGATTCCAGAATTGCAGGATGAGATTTCCGAGCTCTGCTTGTAAATTTATTTAATGTTTTTTTTTAAATACATGGCAAAGATAATTGAACAAATCTTCAGTTGGGATTATGGCTCCTGTCCTGCAAATCTATATGCATGCTTAACTTTATGCAGATAGTAGTCCATTGACCCTACTGACAACATTCATGTATCTAATGTTAAGCTCATGCATAAAAGTGTTTGCAGGACTGAGACTAAGAAAATAGCAAGTTTAATGCTCTAAAACAAAACCATTTTTAGTTATCTGAGCACCACTGAGGAGCATCTGAGAAACCTCTTTACAAGAGAAAACCAATACCCCAAAACAGCTTAAAAGATTTGTATGAAATTTAGAAGAAATCATTTGAGGAAGTTATAAGCACCTAAAAATAGGAGATTTGAATGGGAAATAATGCGGTGAGCAGGGCAAAATCTCTGAGCAAATGGGGGAATAGGAGGGGGAGGGAGGTGAGCTACTGAGCCCTGCAGGGAGGGGGGGACGCTCCAGGCTGGGGAACGGAATCCCAGTAATTCCTACTGCTGCTTCTATGGCAGTTACTCTGTGGCTGGAGCCCAGTGTCCCCACCTCCCGAGTGCTGGTGCCCTATCCCGTCCCTTCCTATACACCATCCTGGCAGCCGGCACATGAGCTCCTGCCCCTCCCTGGGCCAGGTGTCTCCGCTGGGACCCACAGTGACTGTAGGGTGGGACTGGGCTAGGCTGGGGAGTCCCACCTGCTCTCTCATGGTAGGATTGCCAACATCGTATTTCAAAAATAAGGGACTGTTTTGAAATAAGGGACTGTCTTAGCACCCCCACCTCCTGCCTCGTCCCAATATTATCATTATTATATCATCATCATTATTAATAATAATAACTAATTAATAATGAGCAATATGCACCTACATTCGCCAGTTGTATTTCTTGCTGCTTTTTGCAGCACGATCTTGTTGTACAAAGATGAAGAAATCTTTGCAGGATAACTGGAAGTTTATGCAAATTTGGAGTTAGCGTTTAATTAAACCTACAGTGCATCTGTTTTGTATGTCAGACCATTTATTCCCCATTAATGAAAAAATCCTCTCTACAAATGCAGTTGATTATGGCACACTAAGTACAAACAACACAATTTTGAACAAGTTTCCTTTTCCACACTTCTGAAACACATACACCCATTTTTCACTGATCGATTTGGAAATGTCATTTCTTGATGTTTCGATCACATCTCGACTAGTGCAGAGTTCCTCATAGCACTGGTCCATGTTTACAATTTCCCTCATTTTGATTGCGCCTGTTACATCCTCAAGATCTGAGAAACTAAACTTCTCGTAGAGGCTAATGGGTTTCAGCTTCATCACTGCATTGTCAGTAGAGAAATCAAACCATTTATCACTGTACAAAAGCACAGAGTCATAAAACTTAATGAAGTCTTCTTTAACTTTGCGTTTTGTTGTGGGAGTAGCTTTTTCATCAGTTGTTTGGTTTGGAATCCAAAAAAACCCAATCCTGTTTCAGACTTAGCATCTTCAACTTAAATTGGCACATCTCTGCGTATATGTCAGTAATGCATAACTTTGATTCCTCCAACTTTCTCACATATACATCAAAGACACAAGCCGCGTTGTGGGAAAAACACTTGTACCTTTCCATATTACAGGTATACTCGCCATCTTCTGTGAAAATGTTCTTTAATGCTACTGGATAAGACTCCCCTAGTGACTTGAAGTAGGCTGTAATTGCTGGCCAGTTTCTCAAAAAATCGATCGACTGCTGAGTTAAGGAATAGCTATCTTGTACTCACATGTTGCAGTACTTCTTTCTATTCGATGTCAACAAACTCAAAAAAGCTTCAGAGTTCTTTTCTGTGTATTGCGGACATAGAAAAATGGTTGTAAATTTTCAACACAATTGTTCCTATGTCAACTGGCAGCTGATCATTCGCATGTTTGCAAGTATTGTGGACTATGTGTGCGGGGCATTTCGCCTTCAAAATGCAGTCATTTTCAGTACATAACAACTTATACACCGAACTGTGTTTGCCATAGTTCACATTTGCATTATCAGCAGAGTATGCAGTAAGACAATTAACATTAAGATGGTGTTTCTCTGGGCAGTTCGTTATAGCATGATGAATGCCTTTTGCGGATTCATCACTGTCTTCATAAAAATCAAGCAGCTTGCACTGAATGCCATCTGATATGGTGAAATATTGTAGGCACATTGGAAACATCTTCCTGTTCCCCTTATTTGAAGCATCAGTCACTACAGAGAAATATACATGCTGTTCTAGTGGCGATGATAATAAATCCCATAAACAACCCCCCACAGACTTTGGGGCCAAAATATTGGTCACTAATAGCTCTGCTTTGGTTCTTCCACAACACAATTGGTTTGCAATATTTGAATCACAAAACTTGATTTGAATCACTGGCAAGCTTATTATCACAGTCCCCTTGCTGTTGTAACATAGGCTGTGTTTAACTGTGTGGTGCAGTAAACTGTTGCAATTTCCCATGCTGCAATTCGACTTTCAGTGTTTGAAGAGAGCAAAGAATTTGCTAATATTTGTCATACCTTTGGCCTGTGTGTTTTTCTTATGTTCATTGGCTACTGTGTGCTGCTTCAGGTCAGTTTCACCTCCATGCCCGAGAGTGAATTCACACCAGCACAAAGTACAAAAGGCCCAGTTGTATTTTTCTTCCCACTGACTTTTATATCTACACAGTCTCTTCATTTTTTCTCTTTAAGTCTAAGAGAACTGTCCGGTGTTCCCACTACTTCACTCATAATTGCATCGAATGATTTCCTGACCATGTAAAAATGTGCTGCGGCTAATGTTAGCCACTAATAACACTGGTCTACAATTTTTGAGAAGTCGTCTGCTTCAGAGATAAAATGTGCTATTTATTATATATTTTGATGTG